CCATGGATCCCTTCAATCCTTTATGATCCCTGGCTTGATGGGTGGTATATGGTAAAAAGAGATACTGTTGATAGATGACAACTGATGGATATCTCAAAACTTCCATGGAATATTATAGTTTCATAAAATTCTAGCCCGAGGAGCCCTGAATACCCCACTGAAGATCTGGGCCATTAGCACATCAGATAACTGTATATATTCTGTAGTCTTATAAAGAGTGGACCCTTGTTTGTTTATGCCCTATATTTCTTTTGAACCAGAACCCTTAAGAATTCACATAATGGATCTTTCACGGTAGGTCCATACTAGAGGGATTTCTAGTCTGCATCTATGCTAGTGAGGTACTTGCAAGACAGACCAAAGAAACTATCAACTCTTATTCTAGTTTTAACCAAAATCAGGCAATTCTTGATCTCTCTATGGGTTGCTGAAATTAGGGATTTGTTTTAAAGTTCTGTGAAATTTATAATGAACAAGGACTAAGACCCCAAAAGAATATTAAAATAAACATTATTTACTGTTGACATTTCAAATCAAGTACTTTCAAAAGTGAATGTTTAAACATTTCTTATCATAAAAACATGTATTCCCTAAAGAATAATCAAAGGCTCTTGAATTTAATACATAAGAAACTACAAATATGTTAATACATGTAGTATCAGTGAAAATATCTCAATGCTATAAATAATGATTGTCATTATATTCCTTTGGTACAAATAGAATCAAAGTGTTCCCTTAAAAAAAACCGTATTATAGGAAATGGAAATTTACTTTTGAAATCTGATCCAAATACAGTAAATGCAGATCCTCCCTTGAATATACTTTGAATAAGACAACACTAAAGAAGTCTGAATAGAAACCCCACCATATGTCGGTGCTAAATAATTTGTTTAGATTTGAAAAACAAATCTCTAAATGGGCATCATCTGTCAGTTCTGGGTTGAGGACAGATGTGGGGTTGGAGGGAAGATTCTGATGCTGCTGTGGAGAATGAGAGGTGATATTCGAGTCGGGGCAGACTGGGCATGAGAAAATCCAGGAACACTTTCCAGCAAAAGGGAGGAGGCAAAAGGTCAAGGTCAGATGGTGGGAATTCCATAGGATTGGACAAAAGTTTTTCAAGCTTTTGATTATCTGATAGCTAGCTGCCTTCTTGAAAGCCTCTCTCCTGGTCTTCACGACACCGCACTCTTCTGGTTCCTGTCCTGTTTCTTTGACCATCCTTTCGGTATCTGTGGTTTCAAACTGATACCCACATTTATTCTGTGATGATTTCATACCTAGATGTCCAACTGTTTGGCAGATGTCTCTAATTAATGTCTTGTCAATGTATTCCAAACAGAAGTAATACTTCTACACTCTCCCCAATCTACTGCTCCCTTCCAGTTGTCATTGCCACATTACTTAACTTCAACCAGAGTCGTATTTCATAGTTCTCCTTCTCCCCCCCACTTCTGATCAGTTATAAGCTCTCATGGCTTCTATCACTGCTTGGAAATAATGTCTGCAATGCCTTGACCACCCCTCCTGCCATCACACTAACACCTCTCATCTAGAACGCCCATTTCCTACTGGTTTCTAGTCGAAGATTCATTCCTAAGAATGGACCTGGGGTGGGGGGTAAGGTTCCTACTGTTAACTAACATTTGACAAATGCAGCATACATCACTTTTCTCTTGACCAGCCATAATACACTTTAGTGTATGACTGATATTTCTCAGAACCGCTTGTCCTGGGGCTCTATTTTCATATTACATTCATCAACATCTAGTTATTCACTTAGTGTATTCCAGAAAACACACTTTGGGAAACAATGGCTTGAACTATAAAAATGGCCTCTAAACTGCTCTCCTTGCCTAAACTTTCCCTTTCCAGGGCATCGAGTATTTCACTGATAGATTAATTTCTCTAAAGTACTTAACTCATTACAGTATTCCCTTGCTCAGAAACCTTCAGTGGCTCCCCATTGATCTAAGCAGTGATGAAGCACCAGGTTCCCACAACGTGGTACTAATGTACCTCCCAGTGTTATTCTTTCCCCCTACATGGCAGTGTGGCATAGGAGAAAACACATGAACTTTGGAGTAAGCTCCAGGTTCTTAAAAACTATAAAACAGGCTTTGAGTCCTTTCTTTGCTCATCTGCAAGTGCACTTAGTAACTGCAGAGATGGGAGGAGGCAGCGAGATAGTATTAGTGAACGTTCTCGCATAATTGTAGCGCATACTCTCTGGCCCCATGGGTTATAGACTTACTAGGCAGGTTGAACCTCTGTCATGTTGTAATCACCTAGTGTCTTCCTGCAGTAAGTGACCAGTGATGTTTTAAACTGAGAACGCAGAGGATCACCTGCCAGTGTCAATGAGAACTGATCAGTAAATCAGTACCTCTATTTGGGGAATTTTTTTACAGGTCCTGAAGGAGCCAGTTCCCACAGAAGGTCCAAGCTTTTTAGGTGGAATGTACCACTGGCGCTTGGCTGGGGTGGGGGTGGGGCACAGGGCCCAAGAATCAGCAGCGATGCTTGAAAAGCAAATCTCCAATTCAAACAGATGAAACAAAAGCCCACTGCAAGAGTCAGAAAGCTGCACTTTTATTAGATTCAGAAACTTTTTTTTTGAAAGTTTATTTATTCTGAGAGAAAGAGAGAGAGAGAGAACATGCAAGTGTGTGAGCAGGGGAGGGGTAGAGAGAGAGGGAGAGAGACAATCTCAAGCAAGCTCCATGCTGTCAGTGAAGAGCCCAATGTGGGGCTCGATCTTACGAAGCATGAGATCATGACCTGAGCAGAAATCAAGAGTTGGACGCTTAACCACCTGGGCCGTTCAGGCCTCCCAGAAACTTTTAAAAGTGCTTGTAATTTACTTCAAAGTCCAACATGAAGAAAATACAAGCTCCTCAACACCCCTGCCTAGAAGGAAAAAGGAATTTTTGTTTGATTTGATCACTAGCATAGTCTAAGTGCCTCAAATGGTGTCTTGCATGTAGAGGATGCTCAGTTAATATGATGGAGGGATGGAGGGATGAATGGATGGAGCAAGGGATGGAGGGAGGGATGGATGGAGGGATGAATGAATAGTTGGATGAATGGGTGGGTGGTGGATGAATGAATAAATGATTAAATGGATGAGGCCATGGCATGCATTTTATATACAATCTAGTAGAGCACTGAATATATAGAAGATCCTTAATAAGTAATTGGCTAAATATATCGATTGTATCCCTAACCAGATAAGGGCATTTATAAAAAATAATGTACCTTAAACTAAATATTATTCCTATATATTTCTAATTTATAAAATATTTTTATATATTATCTATATTATCATTATACTCTTTCTTTTAAAATTATCTATTCATTCATTTATTTCTCCCCTCACAACATGGGAGTGTCAGAGCTTAAAAGTGGGTGAGGAGAGAAAAATGAAATTAAGAGATTAATTAGATGTTCTTAGAAGGTTAAAAAAATTTTGCCTAAATTGGTTTGACTATGTTGAATGGAATGAAGAGAAAACAAACTTAATTTTTTTAAAAACCTGGAAGAAGATGGGGAAAAATGAGGCATAAGGTGTATAAAACGTGTTTGATAAATTTGTCTGGAAAGAATGTTATGCTTAAATGCATTCTTTTCCCTTAACATTTCACTCAAAGTTTTTATAACTATCATTCTTGTACGAGGGAATAATAGCCAAATATCTCCTTCACAGCACAGGAACCAAATCTCAGTGAAGTTAATGATCTGTATATTCAAGAGCAGGTAGATCCAGGGCTAGAATCCATGTCTTCCAAGTATTCAGGAATAAACACAATCGCCAAAGTGTAAAGTGAGCCTGACACACTTACAGAACATAAAGATTTAGGGTGACTAGGGTATCTGGCTGGAATGAAGGGGATATATAGAAAAGTCATAGGAAATCAAATTAAGGAAATAACTATGAGATAGATTACAGAGTACCTTAAAACACAATAAAGAATCTAGATTTTTATCCATGTCAGTTATTTTTGAAATTATTTTTAAAGCAAAAAATATCCTTTTTAAAGTAAGAAACCTTATATGAGATGCCAGTATGCAAAACATCTAAAAAGGAGGTGGTTTCTCCCATTGAAACTGTTCCCTCCTTCCTGCCTCTCAGCCTCTGAGGAGAAAAGGTTGAAAATTGATAACAGGTTTAAACCAAGGAAAGTCTGAAAAGGCATAAGTCTGACAAGTGGGCAGGGCAGTGCTAGAGCAAGTGGCATAGAGACCAGGTGGAGGAACCCACCGTGGGAGGAAGAGAGCACAGAGGCATGGTTGTCAGTGGGAAGAGGAGACAGAGATGCCGGGGACAGAGGGAGAATCTGAACAGAGCCAAGAAAAGTTCAAAGATTCACACGTGGGCAACTGTAGAATATAATCACAAACGTGGTGAAGGAAAGCAGGAGGCTGCTGGTTTTGATGAAAGGCAATGATGTACCTTTTGTCATGTAGACATTTCTACTACGCTAGGCTACGGCCAAAGGAATAGAAAGTAACCCCTTTCTACCAGTTTTCTTCTGTTTTTCGAATAGATGAAACAAAAGTGCATGGCATGAGTCTGAAAGCTGCACTTTTTGCCATATTAACAAAAAAATTTAAGTGCTTAGCATTTCACCTGAAACTCCAACATGAAGAATATACAGAATCCCCGATGACTCACCCCATTCTACAAAGGAAAAAAAGACCATTTCCATTTTTGTAAACTTTCTGTTCTTCAGTCTGGGTAACTAGCACATTAATTTTTTTTATCTTTAAAAGCTAGTTTTTCCAGGGGCGTTAAGTACAATTTATTTCAAGCATAATTATTTTGAAATCCAAGATTTTTCTGGTGCTTCATAAACTAAATGGTAAAAGTGAAACTTGAGGAATCTGTACACCCAGGCAACCACAGTAATTCTGATGCGTATTATTTTGAGAATAAATAACAGGTTTTGGCAAGCTGCGTGTAAAGAGGACGGTCTCCTCTTCCTCTGTGATTCTGAAACTGGTGATGCAAGCGCTCCCGCCCTTTTCTGAGAACACAGAAAACCTGACTCAGGCAGGCAGCTGCGGCTATTAAAACAGCGCCGGCCCGCACGCGTCCCTGCTGGGGTGAGGGCCGCCGCCGCCGCCGAGCAACAATGAAGCTAGCCAACTGGTGGGGGCTGAGCTCGGCTGTCCTTGCGGCTTATGGCGTTTTGGTTGTGGCGAACAATGAAACGGAGGAAGTTAAAGATGAAATGGCCAAGGATGCCTGCCCGGTGAGACTAGAAAGCAGAGGGAAATGCGAGGAGGGGAGCGAATGCCCCTACCAGGTGAGCCTGCCGCCACTGACCATTCAGCTCCCGAAGCAGTTTGGCAGGATCGAGGAGGTGTTCAAGGAAGTCCAGAACCTCAAGGAAATGGTAAATAGCCTCAAGAAATCTTGCCAAGACTGCAAACTGCAAGCTGACGACAGCCGAGACCCGGGCAGAAATGGACGGCTGTTACCTAGCCCAGGAGCGCTAGGAGAAGCCGATGACAACAGAGTTCGAGAATTAGAGAGTGAGGTTAACAAGCTGTCCTCTGACCTAAAGAATGCAAAGGAGGAGATCGATGTGCTTCAGGGTCGCCTGGAGAAGCTCAACCTTGTAAATATGAACAACATAGAAAATTATGTTGACAGCAAAGTGGCAAATCTAACATTTGTAGTCAATAGTTTGGATGGCAAGTGTTCATCTAAGTGTCCCAATCAAGAAGAAATACAGTCACGTCCAGGTATGTATAATGTCTTCTTACCATCTGTTCATGAATATTATGTAGCTAGACAGGATCTATAATCATTAACTTTTGCAAAGAAGTTAGACAAAGGACAGATGAAAGAAATTAAGCCTTTTATTCATCAAGGTAGTACAGGAAAAACTAATATCTTTGCAAATGTGACCACAGAAACAAGACTTAATTACAAAAATCATAATTCTGTATCCATTAGAAAGCACTTTCAATTTCAAAGATCTTGTTTGTTAATGCCAGAGCTACACACAAACCAAAGTAGAGAGATATTATTTCTTAATATTTTACTGCATTTCACTTATCTTTCTCCTCATTGAAGTGTTTGAAGACAACACAGATAAGGCAGTATTTCCAGCTGTGCTTTGTTCATTGGAAGTCAGTTTCCTGTGGTTGGCTGACTGCTCCTCTCATGTGGCCACAGGAAATCTTTGCAAGATTTTAATTTATCTGCCAATCATAATCCCAAATATCTAGTGAAAACAGGAGATTTTATAAACGGAATAAAAGCAGCTATATGGCTTCATGTGTGTGCAAAACTTTTTGCTTTGAGTGGCACAAAAACATTTTAAGGGGAGAGTTTTGGCATGACAGAAGACCACAAACTTAGTTACCTACTGTGCCCACAAACTTCTAGCTGTGGCACTGGTTCCTCCAAGTGCTGGCTTTCCACCTGATTCACTGCTGCTGATGGTCTTGTTACACTTTGGGAAGCCATCTCTGCATTAGGACCTCCACTTACCATGCATGTAAGGTTGAAGGGATGTGGTGCCTGGATGGAGATCACATTCATTTGGAACAAGCACCTCATGTGTGCTCCATCCCCAAGGAATCTGCTAGGGATCTGAAGGTGGGGCTTTCAAGAACCACTGTTGCTAATACTCCTGTCAGCCTGTATCTGAACATACCCTGAATGGCAAGGCAGAAGTTCACATCTTAGGTGACATCCCTGGGTGCACACTAGATTTGCTGCTGCATGGCAGCTTGTAATGATATGAACAAAATTCTACCGTCTATTTTTATACTAAGAGTTTAGGGGAAATGTTGAAATACTTTGAGTTCTAAATACACATGAACAGATTTTGTTTTGATTTGAGTAGTAACTTACTTTATCTGGCCCAAATCCTTATAAAAATTATCTAAGAGTAAATACCTGTATTTGATTCCTACAGAACCATCCTGAACATAACCACCTGTTGTTCTTTTCTAGAAACCAAACATGTGAAACACTGGCTAAATACGTTCCAGATAATAAATTCAGAATAAGAATGTTGGTATACAGAGTATGATGCTAAGTGAAATAAGTTAGTCAAATAAAGACAAATACCATATGATCTCACTTATATGTAGAATTTAAGCAACAACAGATGAACATAGGGGAAGGGAAGGAAAAATATAAGGCAAAAAGAGAGAGGGAGGCAAACCATAAGTTCTCTCTTAACTGCAGAGAACAAACTGAGGGTTGCTGGAGAGGAGGTGGGGAGATGGGCTAAATGAGTGCTGGGCATTAAGGAGGGTACATGTTGTGATGAGCACTGGGTGTTGTGTGTAAGCGATGACTCACTAAATTCTGCAGAAACCAAACTACACTATACATTAACTAACTTGAATTTAAATAAAATACTGGAAAGAGAAAAGTGTTTGCAAACGTATGTGTGGAAGCATTAAAAAAAGGATATTGGTATACTATTGAAAAAAATCTTTTTTTACTTGAGCTTCTTAATTTAGTTGTCAAGAAAGTAAAATAAATATGAATTTATGATCAAGTCTGTACATTAGAATTTTAATACATAATTTGGAACATATCCTATAAAACTTTCTGGCAGAAGAGGAGATCAGCCCCGTTAGGTGAAAGGAAAGAGAAACTCTGCTTCTTCTGTAAACATGGAATGCAGTTCTAGAAGGGTTGGAAGCATCTGACCTTTAGGACCAAGGAATGCAGTAGTTACAAGAACAAGCTTTACAGCCAGCCAGATCTCAGTACATGTCTTGGCTCTACCACTTAATGCTTCTGTGAAGTTGACCAAGCCACTGGTTCTCTTTGACCCTAACTAAGTATCCTCACCTGCAGACTGGAAATAATACCTACATCATAAGGTCAACGTGCAGACTAGGTGTGAAAATGTTATCAAGTCTTTGGCAGAATGCCTAGAACACATAAGTAGCACTCACTAAGTATTACTAAATTACCAAAACTATTTTATTGACTTCGTTGTTGTTTTTTGTGAACATTGTTACTATTATTACCAACCAAGAGTATGTTGGAGAGCCTTGTCTGCTTTATAGCACCAAGTTCTTATTCTGAGGCTTTAATAAACATTTGCTAAACAGGTTCAAGTAAGTTTTGCAGAACAAGGTTTCATGAACACCACTGACTAAATTATCAAACTGCTTTTGTACATATAAAGAATTCTTCATATGCATCATATTTAGTAACAAAATCCAATGTCTTTCTCTTCTTCCCCCTTCAGTTCAACATCTAATATATAAAGATTGCTCTGACTACTACACAATAGGCAAAAGAAGCAGTGAGACCTACAGAGTCACACCGGATCCCAAAAACAGTAGCTTCGAAGTTTATTGTGACATGGAGACCATGGGGGGAGGCTGGACAGTGCTGCAGGCACGTCTCGATGGAAGTACCAACTTCACCAGAACATGGCAAGACTACAAAGTAGGCTTTGGGAACCTCAGAAGAGAATTTTGGCTGGGGAACGATAAAATTCATCTTTTGACCAAAAGTAAAGAAATGATTCTAAGAATTGATCTTGAAGACTTTAATGGTGTCAAACTCTATGCCTTGTATGATCAATTTTACGTGGCCAACGAGTTTCTCAAATACCGTTTGCACGTCGGTAATTATAACGGCACAGCTGGAGATGCCTTACATTTCAGTAAACATTACAACCATGATCTGAAGTATTTCACCACCCCAGATAGAGACAATGATCGGTATCCCTCTGGGAACTGTGGGCTCTATTACAGTTCAGGCTGGTGGTTTGATGCATGTCTTTCTGCAAACTTAAATGGCAAATATTATCACCAAAAATATAGAGGTGTCCGTAATGGGATTTTCTGGGGCACCTGGCCTGGTATAACTGAGGCACACCCTGGTGGCTACAAGTCCTCCTTCAAAGAGGCTAAAATGATGATGAGACCCAAGCACTTTAAGCCATAAATCACTAAACTCATTCCTCTGGGTATTTATTACCTAATACGGCAATTAATTCCTTGAGCACTTTGGAATATGTTTTATACTCCTTTACTATGACTAAAAATTTATCTCTAGGAATAGGTTCTTATGCTACACAGCATTTGAAATAAAGCGGAAAAAGCACACATTTTATAGGCATCTTTTGTTGCTGTTATACTGTTATCCAGATGAATATTTGCAAAGCAATTGGGAGTGTTGAGAATTACACATTAGATTTATGATTCCCTTAATTTCTATTAATTGAAAGATTTTCTATGTACTTATGTTACTTGCTATAATTATGAAATCATTGTTTATTTAGCAGGCTGGATTTTTACACAAGTAATCTGTATTTTGATTGTGACTTAAATACCTTTTGTTCAGGCTATAGTCAGTTATTGGCTATTTATGTCTCTAAATACTTTAATCCTCATTCTGAGATAAACCTTCTCAATTTATGTCATTTCTTTTGGGTCAGGAAGACCCTACAGCATTTTAGCTCCCAGACAAAGGGAAATACATGTAATTAAACCTGTTCATGTACTATTTGTGAAATGTAAAATATTTGTCATTTAAAATATTTTGGTGGTAGCATAATGTCACTCCTAAAAGCATTCAGAAAATTAATTCAACCTTAAAGACCATGATTTAAAGGTTATTAATTCACAGTTGATAACTCTTTAGGTGTGGATGGTTAAAACTGCTTTACTATAAAAATTAGCTTCCTTTGCTTTGATTGCACAACAGTTTTTAATTTAAGATTGCTCATTACTGTGCATGACTACTGGTAGGCTTTCTTTTGGAAGGGTAGGTGTAGGTGGGGAATGAAGCATTTATTTATAGACTAGATTACTCTGAGGGCCAAAGCATTTATATCCAAAGCAATATTTTCATTAAGTGATTCACTTCATAGAAAGCTAAGTTTTATAAGACATATGTATTTTGATATATATAGAATAGTAGTTCAAATATTATGTATATCTCAACTCTAACTGGTGTATTGCTTATATTTTTATCAGAAAATTTAAATACAGGTATTTATTTTTTTTAACCAAACTAAAATATATGAAGCTTTTATAATTCACTAATTCTGGAGTGCAGACCATTTTTTAAAGATTATTAAAAAAAATAGTGTGTTAAATTTAATCATAGTAAAAAAAGGGATCATTTCAGAGAGAACAGTGGTATTCTGTTGAACATTTAAAATATACCCTAGAGGGGCGCCTGGGTGGCGCAGTCGGTTAAGCGTCCGACTTCAGCCAGGTCACGATCTCGCGGTCCGTGAGTTCGAGCCCCGCGTCGGGCTCTGGGCTGATGGCTCAGAGTCTGGAGCCTGTTTCCAATTCTGTGTCTCCCTCTCTCTCTGCCCCTCCCCCGTTCATGCTCTGTCTCTCTCTGTCCCAAAAATAAATAAACGTTGAAAAAAAAAAAAAAAATTTTAAAATATACCCTAGAATAAAATTTGAAACAATACCCTATACTGTATGTGAGTCATAGAAATGTATTCAGTCTTTAATTTCTAGTTTGTTTCTACCACAGTAACTCAAAATATACTCAAAAAGATGCAACTTTACTCATAATTTGAAAATAATTAAGAAGGATAGTAGCTTTAGGAAACAAAGTAACTTTTTCAAATATTGCCCTTTATAGAAAATTCTAACCAAAAAGAAGCAAGATACTCTTTTTTTTTTTTTTTAATTTTTTTTTCCACGTTTTTATTTATTTTTGGGACAGAGAGAGACAGAGCATGAACGGGGGAGGGGCAGAGAGAGAGGGAGACACAGAATCGGAAACAGGCTCCAGGCTCTGAGCCATCAGCCCAGAGCCTGACGCGGGGCTCGAACTCACGGACCGCGAGATCGTGACCTGGCTGAAGTCGGACGCTTAACCGACTGCGCCACCCAGGCGCCCCAAGATACTCTTAAAAATACATGACATACAAAGTTTTCAGGTACACATGATGAAAATTAAGTTATTATGAATACTATTAAAGTATTAAGGCAAGAGAAATGCAAAGAGAATTGTGACAGCCAAAATACAAAATATCATGGTACATTTCAAAAGCTTCATACCTACTCAATAGTATAACAGATGTAAATGTAACTGATTTACACTTTTATTCTTTTTTGTTTTTTTAAAAAAAGATTAAGAAGATTTTTATTTTATACAATGTATTTATTTCACATAAGATAATTTTCATTTACTATCTGTAATTGTTGATATATGCATAAGTTTAAGTCAATTCCCATGATCAAAAATGGACTCATGAAGCAGGATCTGATCTTCTCAAACTTCTATTTCTCACACTGAAAAAAGGAAAATATACGGACTCTGTGCAAAACACAGTTCTGAAGAAAAATAGCTCATAAAGTGAGTATCTACTGATATAATGGGAATGAGATTATCATTTCAGAAGATTTGCCAAATAATCCATTAATCCATGTAAATACTCAAAAGCTGCCTTTTATCTTTCCACTTATTTCAAAGGATCAAATTTTATTTTCTATTATACTTTTATGACACTTTTCCAATAAAAAATTCTGTGACATAGAAATTCCTTCTTGAAATCATTTCATGTCATTTATAAAATATATTTTATACTTTATCATTTCATGTCATTTATAAAATATATTTTATACTTTGCTAATCTTTAACATGTTGATGGAAATAGATTATATCTGAAAGAGCGTTTTGCTTTAACATATTTATTCACTAATATGTGCTAATGTTCACAAATGTGGATTGATTATTAACAAATTGGTTCCATTTTAAAGGCTAATATTTGTTATCTTAATAAGACTTTATTTCTAAACTTTATCATTCTTTGAAAATGTTGACTAAAACTAGTCCTTAGAAATTCCAACTGAGGGGCACCTCGGTGGCTCAGTTGGTTGAGCCTCCGACTTCCGCTCAGGTCATGATCTCCTGGTCCGTGAGTTCAAGCCCTGTGTCGGGCTCTGTGCTGACAGCTCAGAGCCTGGAACCTGCTTTGGATTCTGTGTCTCCCTTTCTGTCTCTGCCCCTCCCCTGCTTGTGCTCTCTCTCTCTCTCTCTCTCAAAAATACATAAACCTTAAAAAAAAAAAAAAGAATATAAAGTGAAAATAGAAGTCCTTAAAAAAAAAAAGATATTCCAAGTGAAACTGATCCACTCATTGCTAAGAAGAAAAATCAGATTTTTCCTATAGGCAGTAACGCTTCAAATGAATGAATGACACATCTGTCCAATAAAGAGCTTAAATATACAAAGTATAAAAGATACTCTAGTAACAAAATTTGCTGGTCCTTATTTTTGAGTGGCTACCCAGGGAAAGGTTTTAAAAGTTAAAGTGATGGGTAATGTCATCATGATAAGCTTTTATTTAGAGTTCTTCTTTTCTCTTATGTATAAATAAGTTTATGTCTCATGTCTTTTAACCACCCTATAAAATAAAAGATTTAATCTTCACATCTATTTATTTCTGCAATATGGAAACATTAAATATTGTTAGTAAAATAATATTTATATATTTACTCTTGTCTGAAAAGTTGCATAATGTTCACCTAACTAGACTTTACCTTTGACTCTTTTTGAAGACTTTAATGAGTTCTATTTCATTAACAGGAAGACCATTATCTCACTTCCCTCCAGCATACTGTTGACACCTTTGAAATACAAAAGTTTCCGTTTTGTTTTGCAGCATTTAGCTCCATCTTTTTCCATCATTAACATTCCTGCTGGCTCAGCCCTCATCAACTCCTTTGGATAATGCAAATGCTTTCTCAGAGTAACCCATGCATCCAGTTTCCATCTATTCCAACCCACCCTCCATTTCACTGTCAGAGAGACTATTTAAAAATACAGTTGTTATCATATTATTGCCCTGCTTAAAACCTTCCAACAACTGCTCATTTCCTATATGATAAATCCAGCAAATAAACCCCCTGTTCTTGCACAATCCCCACATTCCCTGAAGTTTTCATTATTCTGTGTATACTGTTCCCTTGGTCTAGATAGAAGGCCATCCTCTACCAGAGTTTTGTCTTCTTACTGCTCGTGATCTAGAGCAGGGACTCAGAAGCTGGACTTGTTAGGTTTGAATTTCAGCTCTACCATCTGCAAGCTGTGGGATCACAAACACAGTCACTTAATCTCACAGTCCTTTGGTTCTTTCAGTTATAAAATGATAACAGTAGGGGCACCTGTGTGGCTCAGTCCATTGTTAAGCATCTGACCTCGGCTCAGGTCACGATCTCCCAGTTGGTGAGTTCAAGCCCCCCGTGTTGAGTTCTGTGCTGACAGCCTGGAGCCTGCTTCAGATTCTGCATCTCCCTCTCTCTCTGCCCCTCCTCCACTGTTCTCTCTCTCTCTCTCTCTCTCTCTCTCTCTCTCTCTCTCTCTCTCTC